ATGGAAATATCAAAAGACTACAATTCTCCTTTCATTTAGAAAACATATTATTATCTAATTAAAATACACTTTGTACATGTACACTTTTGATTTACTGAAAAGTAAGGTGGTAGTGTGTCAAAATGGTTTAAGCTGACTGATTCAGTAAATTGAACAGATTAACATAATATGTTAATTCAGTTGTCATGTCATTGAAAATCAAAATATAAAGTAGATAAACATCTATCATTTCTAAATAATAACGAATATATATATATAAAGAATAAACAACTATCATCCAAATAGGAAATAGTTTGCATTAATTTACCTATTTATTTTATGCATGAATATAAAAAGGCTGATCTTATATACTTGAAATGAATCTATATAAAAATGTATTTCATAAATTCTAGTACCAATGATGCATAGCATCAATCAATAATGTTTAATTAACATTTGAACATGGTATTGGTCATTTTCCAATGAATATTGAGTTGTACATTGTATGCATCGATGCAGGTACATGCCGATATATATGTGTATATATATTTACACAAGTTAAACTAAATATTAGCAAAATAATGACCTAAATGGCTTCGAAACAAAGACAAAAAATCAAGTATTTTAAATACATAGAATCTTTCAGAAAGCATTAATCATGAATAATAAAATTGAAGTAACTTGGATAATAAATTTTTATTTCAATTTCATTTTGTTTTAAACAAATCTTATCTTTAAGGAATTATTTTATTGAATTAAAAGAACTCATTGTCTGAGGATTGATTGTTAATTCGTCTATCCATTAAAACAAATGTCAAGGTCAAATGTTTAATTAGATTTATTAATTTAACTGTTAAACTAACCGTTTTTCAATCAAAAGATTTCAATTTTGAACCTTTGTCAATCTACTTAGATTTAAGTAACTTCAATAGAATAAATAAACCTAGACTTGATTAATAAATTATATTCATTCACCTGTTGTAACATAGGCAGCTTACTTTAACACCTATTGAACTTGGTCAATACCAATTTTACATTTAATATTCAAAAGAAAACTTTATGCATATACATAAGAACAATAGAAATAAACTATCTTTTCTCTAAACTAAACTGTAGATTCATTTTAATAAACTGCTTTTATAAAACAAAACAATAGATATATAGCAATATACATAGCTAAAGAGTAGTCACTTTTTAATACCAAATAGTAGAAAAGATAACATCACTTATCAACTGTCTTATTTTCTCTCTTTTTAAATATGAAGTTGAAATCTATATCTTCTTAATGACTACTTCTAATCATCCATTTCTGATACAAGACAAAAGAGTTACGAAAATATTCCCTAATATTTATTATCCATAGTTTATTAACAGCAGATTCTAGATATCAATATAATTATGATATTCGTAAGTAAATGATTAACAAACTTCTTTTTTATAATTTGACCATTTATACAGAAAGGAAATATTGAGTAATAATGGTATATTCTATCGTAAATTATAAACATATACTAATTCACAACAGAATGGATCTTTAGCTAGATCCAATTAGAAAAGAATATCAAAATGAATGAATGGCTAGTGAAATTATTCTCTTTTTTACTTATAAAAATGAATACGTAGTACTGCGCAATCAATAATTTTAATTGTCTCAGTCTTTCTTACATTACCAATTTTTTTTAATCTAATCTTCAGTATACTTAAAGTACACTTGTTATCAATATTACGATTGTATCATGCAATAAATGGGTTATTCATATATAGTTTAACTGATTGATACAATTTGACAAATATTGATTTTAGATTGACATCATGGATGAATCAATGTTAGACTACTATTGAAAACCTAGAAGCACTGGATGACCGTTTTATCTTGATATGAAACTCCTAAGCAGTATACATCCACGATCTTACACACTGATCCATTCATGATATCAATCTAAACTTCATAATCTCCACAACCTTATAATGATAAATATTGATTTGATTCATATAATATCTTATGATTATACATGATAGCTGAATATCAGTTAGTTTGGCCAATGTTACTGATTGAAATACAGTTAACAATATTAAGATGCGATAATTTCCGTTTGTTTAGTTACATACTCTTCTTGTTTGTAAATTCTTATATTTGGTAACTTGTTTAAATCAAACTAATCTTGTTATATCGATGGAATTGCTTACTGAATCACTATTTCTAATCAATAAAAATAGATAGGTTAAACTATATAATGGAATACAGACACATTGATTTGACTGATTGAATTCATTTCACAATGATTGAAATTTTACACTTATTTTACCATCTCAAATAATATCCACAACTTTGTAACAGAAAACATTCAACGATTCACTATTAAGATAATGCAATAAAACAAAAAAATACTTTATTCTAACTCTTTCTTTATTATATCCATTAGTGTTAAATAACCATAAAACATTGAACACTATGAAATTAGGGTAAAGTTCGTAATTTCAAGTTCTTTTTGTGTCAACAATTGAAATAAATTCTGTATGTGACTGAAAGTTTCATTGAAAAATAGCATGAATCTTTAATGTATAGGTATTAGCTATGTGTTTAAACAGAAGATTATGCAATATGTTCTCACCTTATGAAAACAGATATTCATTATCATTTGATTTATTATAGATTATAAATTAAAAATTAGGATATTCTACTAATCATAAACGTTACATAACAACAACAACAACAAAAACTAAGCCACAAAATTTAATAGGTTATTGATTCTGTTGTATATATCAACTTATGAATTATAATAAATGTTTAGAAATAATACTGATCATTATTTGAAGCTAAAATGTGCACATAATTCAGATATACTGATAACGAATCAACACCTTAACAATTCTAAGTTTAATTATTTGAAATCGATTGATTAAAATTGAACACAATGTGAATACAATACATTTTGTGATGAAAAACTAATCTTTATGACAAACAATAAACTGAATAAAATCTAGATTCCTATTTTGTTTGTCTTTAATCTACTCACATAATTGTGTTTATGTTCGAGAAATATTCACATTAGAAAGAAAAACCGTGCCTTTAAACTTTTGTTCTGTTTAGAGAACACTCTATATCACAAATATCCTCTTGAATAAATACTTCTATTAATCCTTGATTGTTGTTGAAATTTTATGTCTGTTTCTGTCGGGTAGTAACCATGGCAATTTAAGTGCTTTCAAACAAATAATCATGACTGTTGACACAAAAACACAATTAATCAAATTTAAAATACTTTTTTTAAAAAAAAGATTTTTGTAGTGTTGATTTATCCTACATTCTTTGTACATACGTATAAATACAACTAACGATCCAACATTGTTAAATTATAACTTTGCATCATATAAGGCAATGATCACTGAACATTACATCAACTGTTTCTTTCACAAAAAATACATTGAGGCGGTGGAAAGCAATCTAATTAAAGGATATTTTGTACACTTTTAATTTGACCATAAATATCAATCTACATTTTCAAATTACAAGATAGGATAATTTTCTAAGCATTATTTTAGAGTTACTCATTAGATTTGCGTTCCGTTTTCCACAGGCTTCATATTCAAACAGATTCGTAGTGATACTGGTTACGTATCCATGGTAGAAAGAGCAATGAATTGATTGATCGAAGGTCTGCATTGTAGTATAAATAAATGCCTATATACAGATTGTGGAATGCTTTTTCTCTTTCTCTCTGCATATTTATACTAGTTAGATATAGGTTTAGATCCGGATAGTGACTGCTAGGTGTTGTGATGGTCACGAAAAAATCGAAGTATTAGACGTTGAATTGTCGTGTTTGGTATACAAGTACGTACTATTGTGTATTTTCCCAGGAACGTATGTGATATGTCACAAATTTTTATGTGTAACAATACTGCAAATGATAGTATGGTTTTTAGGGCAATGCTTGTCTCAGTGTTTATTTCTCGCTTTATAAGAATGTGAATTCTGTTATAGACGCTCATATAAGGTAGAAGAATAGCCTAGATGGGACACATTGGATTTCGAAATGAAGTTGGAGTTGGTGATCCGAGTGTTGTTATAGCGTGCAGTTAGCAAGTAGCGATGTTTGTTGTCATAATGTTAGTGGCAGTCTGGGATAATTGAGTGACAGGTTAGGATATTGCTGTTGATTGTAAGGTAAACAAATGTCTGGTTATTCGTTTACTGTTATTGTGTTACATGACAGTAAGAGTTCTTCAACATAGGTGGTCCTGAAAGGAGCATCCATAGAATCACATGTCTCTCTGATGACCAGGAAAATGCACAATCTCTTTGTACTTGAGGAGTAGGTGTTTTGGTCAGTGTATCGGTTGATCATCATACAAGCTTTTTAGCATTTTAATCCTTTGATAAAAGAGATAATTTCTGTGGGTTTGCGTGTGATATGTAGCGTCAGTGCGAAGTATTTTTTTAAGAATTAACACTTATTGGTCATTATTAAAGACTTAGACTCCGATCAAAATAAATTGATAAAATATGACCGATATTTTCAATTCATAAAGGTGTGATATCGCGAACGATTTGTTAGTAAAAACATACACTACTTACTAAAAATTAGTAGAGGAAGGGTATTCTGATAAAGAATTTTCGCTTCATTTATACAAATAATTATTTCTTTACCAACAAAGATGGAGAACTGCGAAATCAAAACAAAGTTGTTTTCGAGACGATAACCCTGATTGCTAAAAGAGTGACTAATGTCATGCTTTTCTAGTCCTCATTGCTGACTGGATTCTGGTGATAAAGTTATAATGTATTACCAGCTTAAAAAATGTCGACATTCCTCCACCTGAACATCCAAATCATTAAATCTCTGTGACATTATCAGACCCTGGTTCGAATCCCATGGCGGACAATAGTTTGCTGAATATTACAGACACAAATTGCTGACGACCTATAACTGGTAATAAACTTAAAACAAGAGCTTCTTTATAGCTGAATACAACCCCTTAAACATTCTATGAAAAAAACAACTCACAACTCTCCAGTATCGAGAAACAACATTCTATACATTTACACTAACATTTTCTTTTCAATAGACACCTAGAATAGTTTTGTTTTGTTAATAATTGAAATTGTCAATCACATAAATCTGTAAGAAGCTAATAAAATTCATTAATTCTTTATATTCTAAATTTAAACGTGTTATTCACATTGCCAAAAAGGATAATACAATGCATTGTTTTCATATTTCCACAATTTAACTATTCAATAGAAACCAATCGACTGTTGTTGTTGTTTATTTTTACAAATAACAGTTTCATTTAGAATGTTTAAAATAAATTAACACAGAAATTAATAAATAGTATTTAGTGTTATTTGAAGCATTTCTCGATTCTGTATTAAGAACGAATTACTTTATTTTTTAGGAAAAAAAAAGGTGTATACACTATTTCAATTTGTGATGTTCTTTCATATAAATGAGTATATTAACTTGGGAATTGGTCATTTCTCCAATACAAAACACAAAAATTATTTACTTATTTTAAACCGGACAACCAAAATCTCTCAGTCAAAAATAAAGAGAGAAGATAAAGTGTAAACGAAATGTTTAAATGTTGAAAACTATTTTCATTCTATGTAAGACATTCATTCAACATAAGAAATAATATCATTAATAAGATAAAAGCTAATGAATTTCATGACGACAAATGAACATGAAAATTATAGAGAGTTAATCATTTGTTTCATAGCAACCTCATAAACTGTACTATCATCTTCATCACTATCCTCATCTGAATGATTACCACTAATTGTATCACTATTACTGCTATCATCAGAAGGATTAGGAATATTGTATAAAAATGAATCTTCATTGACATTAACACTACTCAAGCATTCATCAATACCAGGTAAATGAATTGAACTAGAATCTTCATCAAGAAAATGAAATCGTCCTGACTGAACAGATGATAATGAAGATGATTCATGTTGTATAGAATCTTTATTTGGTAAAGATACAGGTGGAAGAACATAATCATTAGAATTAGTATCAGGACAACAATCAGACGATATCATTAAAATTTCTCGAAGACCAGCATTTTCAGATCTTAATCGGTGTAATTCTTCTTCTAATTCTGCAGCATATGCATCACCACGGTCAGTAACGTCACGGACAATAGAAGCTACCGTAGTAAATTGTTCAGTTAATGATTGGGTTATATTATCTGTTATCTCGTCAACTTTACCGGAATTTGATTTTTGTGATACAGATTGTGAATCAATGGAATTAGTTGAACGTGTATTAACTAATTTTGGATCCGTGTATGAAGATTTAATACACCGACTTTCGCTGTTATCGGGATTTATAACTGATTGAACAAGATGTTCAACTTGATAGGTTCTCATTAGTTTAGAAATCTGGAAAGATTAAATGCAACAAATAAGTGATTTATGTGACAGATAAAATAAAGCAATGAATATTACAGATTACTTTCCAAACAACTCTAGTCTTAAGTACGAGTATATAAAATATCAATATGAAAGTACGAAATGTTGTTACATCGAACTAAACGAGAAACGAAATAGCTGTTTCATGATTATTATGCAAAACATTCAAAGATACACAGAATAGAATATGGAAACTTCAAGAACATTACAATTTTATAAATACAACTAACTTGTCCACGATATTTAGTCATAATCATATCTAAAGCAGTTTGATGTTCATCAAGGGAATTTCTTAATGTTTTATTTTCAATTTTCAACTGTTCTAGTTGTTTGTTTTCAGCTGCAAGACAGATAATCAGTGGACCTTTTGGTTGATTAGAGACCCGTTTAGAGAATTCATCAAACTCAAGAATTGTTTCTTGACACTAAAGAAAAGAGAAATAATATAACAAAAATAATGATGATAACGATAAAAAAAGTCTCTTTTGTCACAGAAAACGATTACACAAAGTGTAGTATTCAGTGGAAAAATAGTGACAATGTCTTCCAATGATATACTGATTGATATTTCGGAAGGTATAACTAAGGAATATCACACTTCAATTTCAACAGATATTTAATCATCCTGAGTTATAAAACCTCTTAACACTTGCAAAGTCTGAGTCATAGAGAGCTTATATGACCAACTATAACCACGATCATGATCCGTACGCCTCTGACGAAAATAACAAATCCTAAGAAAAGAGTCAGGCATCAGAGACCTAGAAGAAATCAAAACGGCATTGGATAGTAAAGTACAGTTTCTCCAACTCTTCAAGTTACTTTAAAAGTAAATAATATAATAGCAAAAACAGGGTAATATGAATAGTTGAATACCACTTACAAAATAGTGTTTAAAATTATACTTTTACTTGGGAATAAATAACAATACATATCAACTATACAAATCTATTCTCATTGCTTTGATTGGATACAACAATACATTTTGAAATAACAATAATATTAAATAAACTCATTTTAAATCAATAAATTCGTTAATCACCTGTCGCATACTCAGTAACTGTGCTTGTAATTTACATAGCTGTTGTCTTAATAAATCGACCGACTCTTCACGTGCACGCAATCGAGATACAAGTAGTTGAACATCATCCATAACTTTATCGAAGCTGTACTTTAACATGAAATCAGAAGTCTAAAACAATAATAATAATAGCAATTGACAAATTAAGTAATAAATATTTGCTTTAATAAAATGAATAAAGTAGTTATTTAATTGGTTCGAAAAAATTTCCATCCCAAAGAATACAACCGTGAAAAATAACAGTTCAGATGGTGGTTGGAGGTAGTCGACAGGAAACCCTGGACCCGGGTTTCGTGCTACTTAGCACTCGTCAGCAAGGTGTACCTGTAGTCTTGAGGGAACTGGTGCTCCCTGGCGGGTCCGATCTCGTGTCACCCAGCTTCAGTCAGAGACGTTACCGCTGAGATGTAATCACAATTGATTGATCACTGGGTGGTGATCAATAGCAATTCATTTAACAAATTAAAGTCAATAGAATTACTTGACAATTAAAATTACAATGTTAATTCAATTTCATAATATACCATAATATTGACGGTTTGGTAAATACGAACCCATACCTTAACTAATCAGTTTTATTCTCAGAACGTCCCATATTATTTTCCTTTGACGAATGTTTAGAATAATGTATATGGTATGAATTATGTACTTAAAAACTAAATATTAAATGACTGAAATGATTTGCATACTGTACAATTTAGAGACAGTTAGCTTGAGACAAGTAAAATCTATGAAAGAGTGATAGACCTAAAATATCAATAGACAACAGCAAATTATCACATATATTTAACAGATTATTAATTATTTCACTTATAAAGCTTTTCAAAATCAAAACTGATATTCATTAGAAATAATGAGGATACAGATCGGGAATATAAGTAGGATTCGTTTATAATGCTAATGTTGTCTCCTCTATAATTTGTATTTTAAGATTCATATTAACAATGAATGATTAAGGCAGAGTCAATAAATACGACAGATTTGTATACAGTATTGATTATGACACATAACAATAAAGTGAATTATGAAGCAGAGATAATGAATTAAACTTATTCATTTTCAAAAGAATAAATTAGGTTATGAAAACAATATACGAACATTGTAAAATGGGATAACAATTTTAATCTAGTCAGTTACCTCTTCAATATTCGACATCAATCTTTTTATGATTTATTTTAACACATAGATATTGGTACACGGAGGCACCAAATACATATGCGCCACACAAATCTGATTCGAAATGTGTGAGGGCTGTGATACTGCCCGGGTGCCCAGACCGAGGCAGGTGATTTTCTTAGGGGACTACACCCCGAGTCTTTGACCTGAAGGTCTGATCCACAAGGCAATGGAGCATCGTAAGGAGATGCAGTCCCATGGTAGCCAGTGACCAACGATTGGTTCACACGCCATTTGTTCCCTCAGGATACTGGATCCCATGTGCACCATTGGTTTGGAATCCGGTTAAAGCGCCGGACATTCGCTTTTCGTCCTCTCATTTTCGTAAACAACACCCCCACCACGAGAAAGCAGTGAGTAGGACTTCCCTGGCAGAGGCTATATACGCGTGGCCATGTGAGAGCATTTCGAGAGGGAGAGCGGACTCTCCCCACTCTCGGCCGTACCAGGGCATTTGGGGGCCTGAACATTTAAACTTATATTTCCATACTGAATGAAGTAATCAAATTTTTATTATCAAACTCTCTGTCGAAAACAAATCTCTTTACCTATTTCAGGAAGTAAACGGTATTTCTAACCCTTACATAATTAAAGTATACATCAAACATCAGTGATTATTATATTTTTAAGCCTTAATAAGTACGTGATGAGAATATCAGTCCCTGCTAACTTTTATTGAAATCTTGAGTTGTAATTGTGTATTGCAAACAAACAAACAGACAGTAAGTCCCTTATAAAATAAACACTAACAATCCATGAGCATATCATACGTAAACATGACTTTCAAAGCAAAAAAGACCGATATATATATGAAGTAAAACATAAATACGACAACGAGTAAGAAGATAGTTGATTATCAAAATATTAAATTTATTTAACAAATTACACGTAAATCCATGTAATATGTATAATTATGTACAGAATGCTTTTTTCAGATTTATATATCATATTATATGTTGACATTCTTTTCTTGAAATTTTCATCATAGAATAGCAAATTGTTGATAGAGAATTCGTCGAACTTCGAAGTATGTACCACATAATAAACCTTCTAGTAATAATTTACCCGCTTCAGATCGTTTAATTGCAACACAATTATCTACTACTAATATACCACTGACAAATTCTGCCATTAAACCTTGTGATAATAAAAGTTGTTTTAACTAGAAATGAAAATAGGAAAAAACTAAAGTAAATACAAAGTAACTAGTACGCATATTTTTTTTATTGAATTATCATTAATTAAAAGCTCATTACTTAGTAGCCATAAAAATATTTTGTACTACATAGTTACGTCTATTCATTCAATGAACGAACAGATGAACAATCATAACATGTAAATTTACAGTTGCTCACATAACTCAAACAGGAGATGAAGTCAATAAATTCATTAATGAATGTTCATTATTGTCATTAAATTAATTTACAAGTGTACTTGTTTCGGTCAACCTCTATTACTGCATAAATCAATCCCAAATTTCAAGATATTTGGCTTTTTTTTTAGAAATCTTGACCATTCTAGATAAATTATAGACCAGTACAATCGTTTATGAAACTTTTTTAGAGGATAACATCTTGAAAATGACAGAGTCCAATTATAAGTAAAGAATGTATCTTTTGTAGTGTTTGGGCTGGATAGTTTAATTGTTATTCGACACAACATTTTCAAAACTTTAAACAGTGATGGAAATTTTGGTTTCGCTACAAATGCATAATCACTTCATTCTGACAGGTGTTGTTGATTGGTTCTCTTCAGGAACTGTCATGTTTATAAGCATTAGCATACCCATAGACTGTTACTTTAGATTAATTACTGACTAGATGATTGATTGACTTTTACCATATATCCCTATAAGTTCCCTAGAATTTACTCCTGAAGTTCATGATTGGATAGGTGTACACAAATCGGTGAAAAAAAATACTACTTCATAAATCAGAAATTTACAGAAATCACTCAGTGAAATATCACAGTACATCATAAAAAACAATATGATTACGAAACTATTGAAATAATACATTACACATACATCGGATAACTTCGGTTCATTTACAAAAACCGTTTTATGTTGTCCAATAGGGCCAGTAGGAAGACTGAGAACTGGTAACTGATCAGCAGCTAATGGCGTTCGACTTCTCAATTCTAAATTATTCCCAGTGGACATTTCCACATCATCATTATCATCATTACCATTATTTTCAGCATTATTATTGTTTTTTTCTTTAATATGATAATCAGATTTATCATCGAGCGATACAGTTGCTTCAACCCAAGCTAATTCATAATCACGTATTTTTGTGAATTTTAAACTAGAAACTAAACTGTCTTTCATTCTTGCCTATGAAATACCGATAATCGATGTGTGCAAAAAGAAAAATCAAGATTGAATAAAATTCAATATGAAAAGAAATTATCTTCAGTCAAACTGAAATTATGATAAATTTGCGAAGTTGTTTGATTTATTCCACACAAAAACTAATACCATGAATAGATTTGAGTAAAATGTTATCGTTTTGGGGATGTTAAATACCCATAGTACGATTTAGGAAGAATGAATCAAGTGAAAGATTTTGTATTGATTTAGGGTTTTTTTTATTCAGTAGTTTTTTTGTATTAAATCAGTGTGATTTCTATTTACTTAACTTCTGAATTAATTCAGCATCATTTTTGCTCAGTATAACATTAACTTGTACTAATTAGTCCCATGTAATTTCTCATCGAACGAACTTTTATTCAGTATTAATTCTGTCAGTCAGTCATTCACAACATAGGACCAGGCACATAGATACAACTGTCCAAGTTACCATACCTCATTATCACAAGATGAACACCGAATTCATAGGGATAGTCACTTCAATGGTAGTGACATATAAAAAAAGATTGCATGCAAGGATATAATAAGGGGATAAAAAATTAGTTCGTAGAAAGAAATGTATAAAATAATTTTAATCTCACGGTTCAAGGGAAGACAGAGAGTGTATACACATACGCCATTGTGACCGATTCTGAACAATGTCACCCAGAGTCTCCAACCATTGGTTACTATAGTCACGCGGACCCCAACCAAGTAGTCTGCATCTACCAACATGGTTCAGGCCACAAATTAGTGACGTTATGGACTGATGCCACTTTTTGGTTCAGTGATAATTCTTTAGTTTGATGATTTCATTAATCACTAGTCACTGCATGTAATCTGCGTATAATGCAACAAATTCGAATGTTGATCAATCTTCCAGGACTTCTGTCTGTAGTTATTGCATAGGGAAGTAGAAAACGGGGTACAGTTCAACCCGCTATCACTGAAGTTGGAGTTAGAAATTACTTACAATACATAAGCATAGTTTCAGGGATTTATATCAGCAAAGGTGGGTTAAAAACTATGGAATACATAACAGATGCTTCAGTCTAATTCAAAACACCTTAGCGCACTCACAACCTCACTACTTCGAATCGAACTTAGTACGTTTATGTCTCACAAAAATATCCAATGGTTCATATGGTACCACTACTATTTGGTGCCTCATTCTTGAAATGGCAGGCTTCATTAGTGTAGTTAGTATTTGGTAACCACTATCACATACGGATATGGTTACTACTAGTAACCTCTGATTATACACATAAACGTACTATAAATATAGCCACTGAAAATAAACGATAAAATAATGAAGATATTTAGTTGTTGCTGTTTTCAAATTATCTCTCGCAACCAGTCACGATATCTGAAGTTTTAAAATACGTAAATTATCAACTTGTATTATCAGACTAAATTAACAAAAATAGTTAGGATATATGACAGACGAGAAGTCGTTTCTATAAATAACATTAACAAATGACGAGTCTGGACCCTGGGTGATTTAGATTAAAACATGACATTGATATTCATGATGTTAATAATTGTTAATTTGATTCATATGAGAGAATTCCAGTCTAAAAAACGCTAAACATTGATGTTTGATAACTTTTATCGACAAGGACTAAAATAGATTACCCAAGGGGTTCAAATGGATTTACACTTTATCGTTTTATTTGAAATATTGAACATTTTCTTATTTCATGTGTCTCATTTGTACGTTTGTTTTGTGAAATCTTGTGCATAGGCCCGTGTTCTAATAAAACTATAAGGACTATTTACTTTTTATATCACATATCAATGATAACACAGAACCATAAAATATATCACTTAGCACACCTGATAAATATCTCCTTCTTTTGTGCAATTCACAATTTCTCGTGGATGAGGGATATGTATATAGTTGGGATCTAACAGCATGACACCACGACAATAATTTGCTAAATGATCAATGGCCGGTGCATTGTTACCAACTAAAATTATTTCCTGTGGTCTCAGACCAATTAGAATACGTTTCATAGCTTCCCCATCTGATCGACCCTTAAAAAAAAAACAGAAAAAAGTGGTAAATATTAAAAATAATTTTAAAATACTACTAACAATATCATAAAAGGTTTATTTGGCATTACTTTATCTTTTCTTTAATATAAATACAGACTGAACTAGTATATTTTTAAACACAAATCTTGGCGTGTATATAAATTGGATAGAAATATTAGTTAATATTCCGTTGATGATAAGAGTTTAAGTGATTCAGTAGACAAAATAAAGTTATGTTAAAATAAAGTAAAGAATATAATTCATTTCTCACCTTAAATTAATAATGATTAAATATACTTTCTTAAAAATTAAAATTACAAAATCCTTGAAGTCATAAACTTAATTCTTTCACCTATCCTGAAAAGATCCTGAAAAATAGGAATCTTTCATAGTTCCGTATCAACAAACATAAGTAAACTGAACTACTCCAATCGATCTTAAACAAACTATGGAGAATAATAACCAATCGAGTCACTGACCATGAAGGAAAAAGTGAAAACTCATAAATTACGATATGGAGGAATTAATCACAATTGTATCAGAATTTCAGGTGAAGTTGTTTTAAACTAAGTTGCATTCGAGAATTTGTTGCTCAATGTTATTTAACAAAATGTAGTTGCCTGTTAAAAAATTGGTTTGTCTCTTAATCCGTGCTTTGGTTTGGGCACCCGGGC